ACACACACACACACACACACGGCCACCGTTGATCCCCGCAAAGCAACGCTCCGATAACGTAGTTTCGTCCCCCACCCCGCGCGTGACGGGCAAAAAAAAAAACCCGCAGGCCCATGCACCGCACCGCACTGCACTCAGGCCCACATCCGCCCAACACCAAACGCCGCCACGCAGGCCCACAGCGCCCCAGTCCCGCCTCACAGACCGATGGGTCGGCTTTCGCTATGCCGACACCGACGCGCCACCAGTTCCCCCTTGCCCCACTGCCTCGGAGCGGGCCCGCGCGGCGGCGCCCGGTTTCTGTTGGGGCCGTCACGCGAGACCCGCTTCTTCCTTTAGAGTATTAGAGATAACGACAAAAAAAATAAATAAATTATAAGTCAAGTTGGGGAAGGGTATGTGAGCAACGTAGGGCCGAGTTGGAATATACTGTTTATAGTAGTATAGAAGGAAGGGACACGGTCCCCGCAACAAAGAAGGGCGATTCGGAGTACAACTAGAAATAGTAAGTGAATACAGACGGGGAGGAGTACCAGGTGGGGATTAATGATAGAGAAATTAGGTTTCTTTCGTCCGTGTCACAGAAAGCGAAGTATCAATCTCACCACTGGTTGTAGTTGTAGCCAAAGAGCAGCTTGGACACATTCCCGACAGAAAAGGAAAGAGGCAAACCAGAGGAATGAAGACGCCGTAGAAGCTGCGGCGAAGTTACTGAGGCTGGGCAGTGACAGGCCAGCTTAAACAACCCTTGACATGTGGGAAGGGATGGGGCTACGTTGCAACTGCAATCCGCTCCTTGGTCATCTGGTGGATCTGGAAGGAAAGGAACTCGATCCCATTCCAGGCGAAGTACTACTCCAATCCGGCATTGAAAAGCGGGATGAAGGCAATGCTCAGGCACATGATTACGGTGGATTGGCGGAACAAAGTGCAGTCGAAAGCTGGGCCCAGCTGGTTCAAAGCAAGACTGTGGTTCCTTCGATCATGGGCCAAAAAGAACTGGCTTGTGGCCGTCTGGGCTACAACAGGGAAACTGGTTTGGTCTCCTTGGCTAGGAATAGATTAGATTGATATTCTAGGTCGAATTTGTTGGGCTTTGTTGCTGGTGGGGTTGGGTTCTTCAAATCACTAATAGTTTCTCTATCATACATCATCTGGGTAACCGTGTTTTATAGCTGGTAAGGTTGTTTGGGTGGTAGGAAATGGATGTGGGTGTGGTCCTTCAAGGCAGAACCAACCTGTCACTCGGTGGTTCTCTCTGAGCCTTGCTTGGGGTTTCTTTAGGCTACAGGCCCGTGATAGGGCCAAATCCTAGGGGTAGCTTCTCTCTGCCAGGTTGGTCTGGTCGTCGCAATGCTCATTCTGTCTCTACCCAGGTTGGGCTGGGGGAGAATAACTTTCTGCATCTGGGTAGAATTGTGAGGTCCCCGGCCTCTTTAATGACTTTTGCATTAAAAAAAAAAAAAAAAAAAAGTTACTGAGGGTGGGTGAATATCTGTAGCGGAACGCCCGCGTAGGGCGTCACGCTGATAACTCTGGTTAATTCTGGCAGACAAGCCTGGGCCAGGGGGGAGGTGGTTTCCACGAAGACGAAGCTACCAACAGGGTGAACACACGCGTTGGAGTTAACTTCCCTTCGTAACCTTCACCCCTCCGGGAAGAAGGTAGGATAGCTATGGAAGCAAAACAAGCGAGCTCGAGCCACACGAGCAATGCAGGCGACGAAGCGCCGCTGAGCTCGCGTGCCGGTCCGTCCCCCCTCTCAGATTGAGATGTTATCACAACACACTGAAAAAGCTATCCAGTCCAGAGCACACTCAGGGCATACTTACACTAGCACTTTTCAAAATGCATCAGCCCGCAATTTCGGTCACATCTGTGTGCATCTGGCCGCAATTCCGTCCCGAAATAAGTAAAAATTATGTTGTGAGTATGCCCTCGCTATCTTCAATGCATCTGGATATGACCGCATGTACGACCTGGAGCATGGTCCCACTAGCAGCGGGGATTGGATTAAGATCCTGAATCTGGGCGTGTTTTTAGGCAGAGATGCAGAAAAGGAGTTCAATCTCGAATTTCTGAACTTGTCCAGGAACACGTCTAGATTCAGGCGTTCAATCCAATCCATGTTGCTAGTGGGACCTCGCCCCTGATGGGGATGTTTAGCTGTTCATCGGACCGCCATTTCGGTCACACCTGTGTGCATCTGGTCGCAATTCCGTCCCGAAATAAGTAAAACAGTTCTATTGTGACTATGCCCTCACAGCCAGCGGGTAGCACTATCTTCAATGCATCTGAATATGACCGCATTTACGACCTGATCTGTATGTAGCTGACCGCATCTAGGTGCCCAAATCAGTAGAGAAGTCCTCCGTCTCCCCCCGACCACAACGCTCCCTGACTACAAATGTATACCAGCTATCTTTCCGGTCCGATACGGTCGTGATTAGGGTGCGTTATGTTCCGGGCAATACGGTAGTATGCCCTCAGTCGGGAGGGCCTGTATTGTAATTGTCTCGATCATTGATTAACTCATTTCGTTTTTTCTTTTTCCCCTCAATGACCGTATTTTGTTGAGAAAAGACGTTAGCATCGGTCTTGCCGCCGACGATGACTGCCTCCATAGCCGTAGCTGTGACATGACGATGACGATGATGACGACGATGACGATGACGATGACGATGGCGATGGCGATGGCTGGGCGTGCATACCATCGCTCTTTCATCTCTGTCGTCGTTAGAAAAGTGAGGTAAAAGGCCACCTGGGGCACGGCAGATTATTGAGAAAAGGTGAGTCCTAGGGAGAGAGAGGGAGGGAGGGAAGTCGGGGGGGGATAGAGGGGTTCATGTCCTCCTCATGTATATTCATCCTCCTTTTTTTTCTTTTTTTTTTTGGCTGCTTTTTCTGTACTCCTTCACTTTATTTTGTATTTCCATATTTTTTTAACACACAAACAGACACTTGTTATTTTCTGTTTATTTGTGATATTACACTTCGGCCGTCCTCCTCTCTTGCCTTTTCCTTCCCTCCTCCTCCTCCTCCTCCTCCTCCTCCTTCCTCCCTCCTCCCTCCTCCTCCTCCCTCTGCCCTCCTTCCTCCTTCCTCCCACCACGCTCCGGTTTGCAACTTTTCCTTCCCACCACGTGCTTCTTTTTTTTTTTTTTTTTTTTTTTAATCACCTGCTTCTAATTCGAGTTGTCTTTCCATTTCTATTTTTAGTTGTTTACCCACTTCTAATTTGGTCGTTTATCCTTTTTTTTTTGGGTTTATCCATTTTTATTTTTTATGTTTTACCATTTTTCTTGTTTATCCATTTTTAATTTGGGATGTTTATCCACTTCTTGATTTAGCTGCTCAAGGCTTTTTTTTTTTTTTTT